TATATTTTACTGCATTAATTTTACATCTGTATGCCAATTCTAAATGTAAAGATTGTCTGCGTAAACCTGAACAGGTCCAACCCGGTCTTACTGTGAGACCGGGTTGACGCGTCACGCTTGTGCGTAATCATAGGCGCATTCTGAGCTGACGAGGATGTCAGATTCTGGGACTCTCCTCAGACGGCTCCTGGATGTGTTGCCACATTGGAGCCAGGAACAAGCACTATTCCGCCAAAGTTTCATAATCAGGGAACATTTTCTAAGTGACAAGTCTCGCTTCAGTCGGAGGAATCTTCCTGCATGCGCTCTGGTTCTGTGACGCGCTCCAAGCCCCTCTCCACATCTTCAGCTCGCTGTGCACCATACGTACGCACTGACAGCGAGCTGCGCTGAGCTCAGTGTCCAGCTCAGATGTTCAGATGGGAATCTTTTCTTGAGTGATTTAGCTACATCTGCGATGTGCGAAACGAATAAAGTTTCAGTTTGTCTGAATGCGTTGGGGTAATTCTTTCTATTCTTTCTCCATCAAAATAAATAGTCAAATACGGGAACTATCTGGTCAACACAAGCCCTGCTTTTAACTGTTCTGTTTTCTTGTGAAAATTGTTGCAAAGAGATATAATTTAACTTGATTAACACCAGAGCCAGGCGCAGTGCGCCGTTATCTCCGTCACTGTAAATGAGGGAAAAACAAAATGATCGGATCCTTTTCTGACCTTCCCCACCTACAAAGTTTAATTACAACAATCAAATGTGACAGAGCCTGGATTTTGTATTCTGAACAGTCTAAACATCTTTTTAAAAGAAACGTATGACAAAAGTGGCACCTGCTCAGTAAAACCACCAACAGGGTGAAAAATATCAAAATGCTGTAGGCAGAGACGGGCTACAACTTCTCGATCCACTTTATATAAATCGTTTTATTGATTATCGTCTTATGAAAGATAACTTTGACGTACACGAGCGACCGGTACTGGCTGCTGTCACCTGTTGTGATTGGTTAAAGCAGCTCTCTGCTGTCTGAGGGTAGGCCCCGCCAACTACGCCACGGCTGCTGTGTCTCCCAGTGTTTTCTTTACTGTGGGAAACGGGTAATAATGGCTCTTTGATGGGAACAGGTTGCCGACCCCTGGTCTATGTCTATACGTGGACAATAAAGTTTTGAGGTTTTACAATTACTTCTGGGGGCAGAGTTGCAATGACATGCGCACTACGTTGCCCTAGCGCCAATTTAAAACAGAAAAGGTGGACAGGGATACAGGGCCAACATTATCAGTAATCAAAGATGTACCCATTACATTTAAATCGGATATCTGGGCTAATTTCGGTTTTGGGATCCTGGATGTGAAAGAATCACTTAACACAGTATTTGTTTACTATTTTTAAGTTCAGTAATATTCTATCTTAATGCTGCTCTACCGAAAACATTATTTCTTATATTATTTAAGTAATTATAGGAAGCACACTTTAAAAATTACTGCTCACTATAGTGAATAGATGAATGTTCTGTTGTTCAGGGATTTCGAAATCAAAAAGAAATTGAAAACTATTTTACTGCTTTTATTAATAATGAAAATTTTTGTGTGAAGAATCGTGATGCATTTCAGACTCAAATCGAATCGTTAGGCAGATAATCAGAATTGGATCGAATCGTGAGGCAGGTAGAGATGCACACCACTAGCGGATCCACTAACAAATACACACACACACACACAGGCTCACAATGACATTGTGACATGATATGGTACCAGATAACGTTCTAGGGTACCTCTTAGCCAATAGCGGTGGCAGATTTAATTTCAAATGCAGTACAGAGGTTTTACCTGACAACGGCACAACACTGACAGTTTTAGGCAGAAAATTTAAATTTTAACTAAAGTGCAAAACTATTGACTACACGTGTCTGCAGCACGATTAGACACGGACTACAGTGTGTGGAAGTCCCTCAGTGAGAGTGTATGGAGGAGTTTCTTGTAAAGGGGCAGTGCCTAAAAAATAAACATATGTTTTTATACACCTGTAAATAAACCAGATTACAGCCAGGGCTCGTATCAGGGTAAATGCTTCAAGCTGGTGGCAATCTGTTCTGTTTGAACAAACATCACTGGTTATCACATTTGTTTAATTGTATTTACATTTGATCATTTACATTCACAAAACATTTAAGTTATTTGACTTACCAGAACTTAAAAAATAGTAAAATAGATAAAACAACTGGGTTTTACGACGTATTTTAAAAATATTTTTAGCAAAAAATTAAAATATCATTTTTTCCTTCATTCTTTGATGTGATGGGAGTTCAGCGTGCCTTCTGCTTGCCGTCTCCTAGAGCCCAGATCAGCATCGGAACCAGGTCAGGGAGGTGAGCTCTAGAAGGCCATTTACCGCACCTCAGGCTGAGTGCTGATAAGAAACGTATGCATTGGAATCCATCATTTTCTCTGGATCAAGCTAGCAGGACTCCCTCGGCCTGTCACGCTTGGTTTAGCAGAAAAACGTTTTTCTCACTAAAACGACTCCCAAAGCCAAAATTATTTATTAAAATGTTTATTTAGAATGCATTCCTTTTATTTTTCTCTAAATATTTGTTCTAAAGAATTTCTAACCTGCAACATGCTCTTTAAAGCGGCGTTGGAAACATTAGACGGTCCATGTTTATCATGAGAAAATTAGCCTCTAATTGTTGACAAAGTGTGAAAAGCAGCTGCAGCGTTGTTTAACGAAAACCCCCGTGATTAATTACACATTTAGCCAGCCGACACAAACTAATAGCTCTTCGTTTAGCCGTAGCTTCGTTTTTCTCCTTTAGAGCACTTAAACACAACTATTCAGTTGCGTTGTGAGATCAGAACCTTCAGAATGTTCATCTATCGCCTTTTGGTGGAGATTTGTGTTTGAAAAACAAAGGTTTTGTGTTTCAAGCTGCTTTAACAGACTCTGAACCATACGAGCAGCATGTGGGCCTCGCGCTGCGGCGGCGTACGTTTGGAAACCTGGCCGAGGTTTGTGTCCAAGAGTTGAAAATGTCTCAGAGTGGCGCAGTGCTTTCTGCTCTGCTTCAGAATGAACCACACTATCACTTTCACTATATTCAGATTTCATTTTTCTGACTTCTGGGTTGGTTTTGAGCAGAAACAGGCAGGGTAAAACATGAAGTCAGTTCTGTTTTGGTTTTTGGGAATGCTGCTGCGGGATAGGGTCAGGCTGTGACGCCTCGCTGTCACTTCTGCCATTTGGTCCCTCGGTGTAGCTAAAACTAAAGGATCAGGGGAATCTTTAAAAATGGCCAACAGATGGGAGTTTTGACATGTAAACAATGAGGGGAGAAAAAAAATCAACGACTGCAGAAACACCCAGGGGACCTCCCATCAGCAGCCATGAGACAACGAGATTTATCATCACAGGAAGCAACGGTAGATGCTCCACATTCTGCTGAATGTCAGCATCTGAAAAATAACTTCTGCTCTTAGTTTTCCTCTAAAAGCTCTAAAAACTGAGATAAGCTTCTGTCTGGTTTCATCTCAAGATCAATTACTGCAGCTGATAGGATGGAGAGGACTCACTCTTCATCTACAGTGTGTTTGAAATACCTGAAGTTTACCTCATGTTAGTTCTATTAGTTTCATCTGAACAAACCACAAGGCTTCTAGAACAATGTCCAACAAAAGAGGCCACAGTGGAGATGTTTAACCACAGTGCACTGCAGCATGTTTAGGTAGGACGTGCAGCCCAACATGCAGCTGTCTGCATAGTGGTGGAGTGCTGATGGTTTGGGCTTGTCCTGCAGCCACAGGATCTGGACACCCTGCTGTCCACCTATCTGGATACCAGAGTAGTCTGACTCTCTACCATGATGTTGGTGGATGTGCTGATCTGATCTACTCGTTAGTTTCTTATCAGCACTCAGCCTGAGGTGCTGTAAATGGTTTTACTCTTTCTTGGAGGATGGAATCCCTTCATTAGGAAGGAGGCGGGCTCAATGAGACCAGCATCCAATGAAATTAACATATTATGAGAACCATCTTTAAACTCATTCTCAACATGAACAACGTGGGCTAGTAAAGAAAAATAAACATTTTCACATTAGGTCACAGTACAAGGACTGTCATTTTTACAGTGTAAAACTCATACGTAATTCCTGAAAGGCAGAAAACTCCGGATTGTAGCTTTAAAAAGACTTTGCAACTTTTTCATATCCTTAAATCGTTGTTTTGAGCCAGAATGTGCTAAAATGACCCTTTACAAGGTTAATGAATTGTCACTCAGACCCCCACTGTCCTCTATGGCCAGAGCATCGCATTTGCAACTTCAGAGTGTCAGGCCGCTCTGTTGGAAAATTTGATAAAATGGAGCTGACACACCTGGCACTGCAGTCTGCTTCCTGCACATTTCCTGCATGTTTTAGATCATGAACTGAGCTGATTTGGTTAATTTAGTGATGAATCACTCCTGTTGACACTAATGGAGGCTGAGGAGAGGTTTCAGCATCTAGATTAAGGTGTTAAAAAGACAAACGCACAGCGACAAGTTTCACCTTTACTTTGACAACGGATATTTAACCTTTCCACTGTCTGCATGGGTGGCCCAGCCAGGAAAGTTGACCATTGAGCAGGTTTGATGGTTTATCCCTTGGGTCCACGTGGCAGGGGTGAGGAGTGAGCACCCCTGCCACGTGGACCTCAAGGGATAAACCATCAATCCTGCTCAATGGTCAACTTTCCTGGCTGGGTCACCCATAAAGACATTGGGAGGGTTAATAACAAACACTGTGGGGTGTGAATGAGTGTGTGAATGGATGAATGATACACCATAGTGTAAAGGACTTTGGAGTCCTTACTCTGAGAGGCGCTATACTAGTGTGGGTCATTTATCATTTGAACCAACTCATCTCCATGTGATCACTTTCAGTCCTCGTGATCATTTACTCCTCCGTTTGTGATTTACTCACCTCTCTGCATCTGCTTGTTCAGAAAAACCTGTGTTTGTGTGTTTGGTTGTAGGAAACTAGCCAAAAAGCAGAAGGAAACCGCCAGCAGCTCCACCCAGCAGAGAGAGATGGGTCCAGTCACCACAGCTGATAAAAGCACCACCAAAGTCAGCACGCTGCACAAAGATGACCCCTTCTCCACCTCCAACCAAGATCTGAATGGCTTCGGTAAGTAGAACAGTCAGGGGTCAGCAAACTTTTGCTGAAGGTTTCTCATGCCTCACAAACAGAGATGGAGAAGTACAGTTTCATGTGTGTGTGTGTGTGTGTGTGTGTGTGTGTGTGTGTGTGTGTGTGTGTGTGTGTGTGTGTGTGTGTGTGTGTGTGTGTGTGTGTGTGTGTGTGTGTGTAAGTAATTTATATTTATATAGCACTTATCACAGACATAGAATCACAAAGTGCTTCACATAGATCAAAACAAAATAAAACAAAGTCATAATATCATAAATAGATTAATATCATAAAATCAAAATGCTCTCAAAACAGAATTAGATTAACATCAGAAAAAATAGTCATAAAATTATACAATTTCATAAACAGATGAAAGATTAAAATTTGAGATAAAAATAAGAAAATTAAAGGTTTTAGTTAAAAGCAGCTTTAAATAAAAGGGTCTTTAGCTGTTTTTTTTAAAAGCATCCAACTGTCAATGCTACATAAGGATAAAGGAAGATCATTCCAGAGTAGTGGTGCAACAGTCTGGAAGGAGCGATGACTTCGACTTTTGTATCTGGTCTGTGGAACTTCTAGAAGGTTCTGGTGTGTGGACCTGAGGGCTCGGGTTGGAGCATAAGGCTTTAACAGTTCAGTAATATAGGGAGGAGATTGACCATGTAGATCATTGAAAGTTATAGTCAGGATTGTAAAATGGACTCTAAAGTTAACGGGTAACCAGTGCAGAGACATCAGAATTGGAGTGATGTGTGCTCTTCTGTTTGCTCCAGTTAGGAGCCTCACTGCAGAGTTCTGTGTACATCTGTCTGTGTGTGAGCGCATATGCTCATGTGTGTGTGTGTGTGTACATCTGTGTTTGTATGTGCGTGTGTGTGAGTGTGTATGCTCGTGTGTGTGTGTGTGTGAGTGTGTATCTGTGTGTGTGTGTGTGTGTGTGTGTGTGCATATGCTCGTTTATGTGTATCTGTGCTGGTGTGTGTGTGTGAGGGCTTGTGTTTGTTCTCGTGTGTGTATCTGTGTGTCTGAGTGCGTATGCTCGTGTGTGTGTGCATCTGTGCTGGTGTGTGTGTGCTGGTGTGTGTGTGTGTGTGTGTGTGTGGGCGCACATGTTTGTGTGTGTGTGTGTGTGTGTGTGTGTGTGGTGTCCAACATAATTTAGCAGTTTTTCCTCAGAAGGTCATTATTCTCTTGAAAATGTCAGGCTGGCCTTTTGGGAGAGCTGTGGCTCTAAGCTAATGCAGGTCATCATTGCCGGCGCTCTTCCTCTGACGCTCTACTCTGATGTTCCTGCATCAAACACACTCAGAGGCAGACGCACCTGGATGTTAATCACCAGAAAAGCTGGGATTTTTTACTGGATCAGAACATTCACACTCAGGTTTAGTTTTCTGTAAGTCCAAGGAATGCCGTGTGGAAGCAGGAGTTCTGATCCTGCTCACCTAAGGAGTGACAGGAAATCCAGCTTCTAACTAACTGACCAGATTTCAGCTCCATATCTGTAGAAGTGAGTTAGACATTTTCTACCCTTTAGTCCAACCGCTGGCCCTCTGTATTCTCTGAATTCATCTGTAAATCTGGCTCTTAGCTTGGGAGGTGAAAAATAACCAGCTGTCAGTAAAGTTTATAATTTTAATCATTGTATCACTAAACGTTTCTAAAGATTATCGTGCTCATATATTTAAAATAACCTTTAAATCTGTTCACCAGAGGAGAAAAGAAACTTTATGTTAATGTGTTCCTATTTCTTTAGTTAAAATAGTCAGTCAGTTCTGTCGATGAATGAGTCAGGCTAGTGTCTCTGTGGTGATGTGTTTTTATGGTCAAGCAGACAAAATATAGGCACACACACACACACACAAACACAGACACCCTGAAAACTCCTGTCACAGATTCCGTTTGGAGCCTAATGAGCCAGAAAACGCTGACACAAGGCCGGGGACCAGTAATATTTACGCACACAGACCCTCGCAGGGCAAATAACCTTTTTGTGTTATTGCGTTCTCACCCAGTCACCGACCATCTTCTCAGGACTTTGCTGTCAAAGCAGATTCTTCTCGGTATGCAGGTACACTCCTCACCCTATTAGAGCCGAGCTGCCGTCTGGTGAGCATTAGCATACGGAGCTGGTTTAGCATAAAACAGCAGGGATTTTATCTCAGAGGAGGAGAAAATATGTTGCGTTGGGGCCTTTTAGAGGGGTGGGGGTAAAGATAAGACAAGAGGAGAGGAATGTATCATTGAGTTTTGCTGCAGACAGAGAATTTGGACCTGTGGAGGTGGATAGTCTTCATAAAAATATCATTACATTCAATTTAGAAAATCAACAGATGTTCCTGTTTTTATTCCTGCAATTTATCGAAAGAGAAACATTTTATTTTATTTGAGCGGAAGAGGGTTAGGATTGGATTCATTCAGACCTTCTGCGTAAGATCAGCTGGCCTACATGGACTGTAGACGACTCTGTCACTTCAGTTCAGCCGAACCCTAACCTGGAGCACCTCCAGCAGGAATCGGATACGATTCCTGCTGCTTTAAGAGAATCGTGTGGAGGAAAAAACATAAACCAGGTTGATGGTTTTATTTAGGGACTAAAGTTTAGAAGGCAGCAGTTGAGTTTGTGACCGTGGTCGGATCGGCTACTGATGAGAACTGGATCCAGGATATTTGGTTAATTAGCTCAGAGCCGTTCTGTCTGCGTAGATTTACTTTATTGATTGTTAGACTATTATCTATTTAACACACCTGACCTGGATGTGTTCAGCCTGCAGCAGTAATGCACAAGGTCCTGCTTTCATTTCATTCATTCAGAACATTCTATTATCTTGGTCATAAACACTTGGAAAAGCCTTCATGAACAAAGCAGCCTTACACACGATGACTCTGTCGGTGGTATTGTGGTATCTTAGCTACCTCTTGTTACCAGTTCATATTAAACATTATGTGGAAGTGTGACAAAGTTCTAAGGTAAGCTTGATGCGTTAATCCTAAACCTCAAAAGGTTACACAACATCGCCCGCGTCCAAAATCAGGAGCAGTGTCCTTGTAAGGACCCGACCTACCAGGTCTACGTAGGTCAGGTCCTTCCCTGAGTTGAGGCAGGAAGTGAGCAGCTTTAACCTTTATATTTAGGCCCGAGCAGCGAAAGCGCTGCGAAGGCCTCTTGTTTTTTTGTTGCTCTGTTTATTCTTTCTTTCTTTATTATTCTTAGCCCACTTTGAATGGCTTTTTGGGGACCTTAACATACCCCAAAACTCACAATATTTTGCAAACTTGTCAGGCCTGGTGAAAAATTTGATATTTTAAAGGTTCCAAAAAAATCGCAAAGAAAATGGCTGAACAGCGCCCCCTAGAAAGTGAAAAAAAAAACCTTTCCATAAAGCTTAGTTTATCGTACAGTTATGAAATTTGGTACACTTGTAGTACTCAACAGTCCGCACAGAAAAGTCTCTTGCAAGCATGGTCAATATCAAACAGGAAGTCGGCCATTTAGAGTTGAAATGGCGATTTTTTTGCCGTTTTTGCCATTTTTAGGGTCCGTTTCTGATTGGATTGCTCGATCATTTTTTGCACGATCGTCTCAAACATGGTGTAATATTGCTCAGAAGAGATGGGCGAACAAAACGAGATAAGGATTCTGAGTTTTCGTATATGTTGAAGGGGCGGGGCCAGGCCTCGAAGTTTGACTACTCGCCAAAAAAATTTAAATTGCTATAACTTCATAACTGAATGGAATAGAGTTACCAACCTTTCTGTGGTCATTCGTCATCCACCCACAAAGTAAATTGAATGGTCGGATGATGACATCACACAAGCCCCGCCCCCTCAGGACCAAAAAGGTCAAGTATTACTGTGAAAGGTCCCAAATTGCCCCATTACACTTAATCACCACAAATTTGTAGCTGGTAACTCAAGACAAGTGGAGGTTGCTTGGCGTCACTTTATGGGAGTTTTCGGCAGAGGGCGGGGCTGTGGCGGCGCGGGAAAGTCAGGCGTACCGCCATGGCCTTACGTTTGCCTCCCATTTCGTCATTTCTAAAGTTATCGTCACGAAACTTCTTGTGAGTGATCCTAGTCCGGCCCCCCAAAAGATATGATGTGAACTTCTGGTGGGCGTGGCCTATTTTCTGAAATAGCGCCCCCTAGGACCATTAAAACTGTCAGCCCCAAGCCATGCTTTGACTGAGGATTACGAAATTTGTTACACTAATGTGGTGTCTCAGGACCGACAAAAAAGTCTCTTGGAGCCAAGTGCAAAGTCGTACAGGAAGTCGGCCATTTTGGTCCAAGTGCGCGATTTAGTGGTTTTCACACACGTTGTTTGGAGAGTGATGCTCCGTCGCCCTTTTCACCAATCGCCTTCAGACGTCTGCTATGTACTCTTAAGACATAGAGGAAAAAATTCTACCATCGCATTTTAAATAAGTATAAAGGTGTGGGCGTGGCTAAGCCTCAAACTTTGGCCTTTCGCCACGCCACTCTTTTTTTCACAGCTCCCTATTGGACTCCTTTTACCCAATCACCAGGAATCTCTGGTAAATAGCAGCAGACAAGTTGAGGTCACTTGGTCTCCAGTACTGGAAGGTTTTGAAAAAAGGCGGGGTTTTGGGAGCATGGCGAAATTCTCCATCACACCATGGAAATACGTTTGCCTCTCATTTCTTCATTTATCGTGATATCACCTCGAAATTTGTTGTGAGTGATCCTAGTCTGACCCCCAATAGAAATGGTCAGCTTAAGTTTGTGGGCGTGGCCTATTTTCTGAATTAGCGCCCCCTAGGACCATTAAAACTGTCAGCCCCAAGCCATGCTTTGACTGAGGATTACGAAATTTGGTACACTAATGTAGTGTCTCAGGACCTACAAAAAAGTCTCTTGGAGCCAAGTGCAAAGTCGCACAGGAAGTCGGCCATTTTGATCCAAGTACTCGATTTAGTGGTTTTCGCACACGTTGTTTGGAGAATGATGCTCCATCGCCCTTTTCACCAATCACCTTCAAACTTCTGCTATATACTCTTAAGACATAGAAGAAAAAAATCAACCATCGGATTTTAAATAAGTATAAAGGTGTGGGCGTGGCTAAGCCTCAAACTTTGACCTTTCGCCACGCCACTCTTTTTTTCACAGCTCCCTATTGGACTCCTTTTACCCAATCACCAGGAATCTCTGGTAAATAGCAGCAGACAAGTTGAGGTCACTTGGTCTCCAGTACTGGAAGGTTTTGAAAAAAGGTGGGGCTTTGGGAGCATGGCGAAATTCGCCATCACGCCATGGAAATACGTTTGCCTCTCATTTCTTCATTTATCGTGATATCACCTCGAAATTTGTTGTGAGTGATCCTAGTCTGACCCCCAATAGAAATGGTCAGCTTAAGTTTGTGGGCGTGGCCTATTTCCTGAATTAGCGCCCCCTAGGACCATTAAAACTGTCAGCCCCAAGCCATGCTTTGACTGAGGATTACGAAATTTGGTACACTAATGTGGTGTCTCAGGACCTACAAAAAAGTCTCTTGGAGCCAAGTGCAAAGTCGCACAGGAAGTCGGCCATTTTGATCCAAGTACTCGATTTAGTGGTTTTCGCACACGTTGTTTGGAGAGTGATGCTCCATCGCCCTTTTCACCAATCACCTTCAAACTTCTGCTATATACTCTTAAGACATAGAGGAAAAAAATCAACCGTCAGATTTTAAATAAGTATAAAGGTGTGGGCGTGGCTAAGCCTCAAACTTTGACCTTTCGCCATTACATTACTTGACTTAATAACTCCCATGTGCACGATCAGATCTAAATCAAACTTTGTCTGTGTGATCACTGACCACATCTCAAGGCAACGTCATTGTGGAAAGCTGACATCACCTAAGCCCCGCCCCCTGACAACAGGAAGTCTATAGTTTTATGGTGAAATGCCCGTATTTGTCCCCTCTAATTTAGTGAACATGACACTAAGGTCATACACTGTCTTCATGATGTTGTAATTACCATTCAGACTTGATAGATTTCCAGAAAGGGAGGGGCTTTGATGCCATGGTGAATGCTGGCGTGACGCCATGACCTTACATTTGACTGTAACTTCCACAAACTGCCTCCGATTTGCCCGAAACTGAACATGGCAATGAACAATCATGCCCTTTAGCCAGTGAGGCACAAACGGTTGGTGAATGTTATATAATGTCACCAAAGCTTACCTCAATGGGACTTTTCTGTAGTTGGTCACAGCGCCCCCTAGATAACGTTATCCTTCGATAACTTTAAAAAACATGGTCGGAATAGCAATAAAGTTGGTCACTGTCATCACACCACCAGTGTGGTAAAGATAGAGGATTCCCTAGTGGTGAGACATAAAATATAAAGGTAGGCTCAAAGGGGATGCTGAGTCAGGGTGAGGTGCGGACGAGGTGACCGTTAGCAGTTTCTGGTGTCGGGGTGGTCGACGTTTCTGTTTCGCAGACGTAGCCTGGTGCCCCGGACTGCCGGCCAGGCCGGAGCAGCGCGGAGCTGCGAGGGCCGAACGACGCTGCTTGCAGCTTTAATTATTCTTGCACCCGTGTCACCGTATGTCCTGTCGCTTGACAACCGTTATGGTGCTAAACAGAGGTTAAAACTAAACTCAGGGCACATGAAGTAATACATGCTAGTTTACAAGGATTTTTCTTATTTTTAACAAAAATAAATACATTTAAAAAACAAATATGCAAATGGAAAAAAAACTTCAAAACACTACCGCGTTGAGCTTTTAATTGGTGCATCACCATATATTAATAAACTAATAATTAAAAATGTAATGCTCTCCCGCTTCACTCGCCAGTGTCAGAAGAATAAAAATCTCCTATTTTGCCTGCCAGGATTCCTGGGATGGCCTTTAATGCTTAGGATATTCCAAACCTGTCTTTTTTTATGGAACAAGGATGGTTTTTAGAATGCCTTGATTCTTGAGCAGCCTTGTCACTTTGCTGCCTAAAATGTGTGTATATATTCAATTCAATTAAAGTTTATTTATATAGCGCCACATCACGACAAGTCATATATATACATATATATATATATTTATACTGATATGACCCTTAGACCATTCTACCAAATATGAAGCACCCAAATCTTTACCCAACAAACCAGAAGTCACCACACGACTCGTTTCACCTGGACTGAAAGGTGAAAGACTAAAATGTTTAACAGAAGGAAAGAAGGAGGCTCATCAAGTCGTCTGCTCACTCAGCGCTACAGAAGGAAATTTATTTTAGTGAGAGTCTAATGATCGCTGGTCTGAATGATCCAGACTATAAAACACAAAACAGACATTACTGCCGCAAGCGTTCAAAACAGCTGAATGATCCTTCGAGTGTCTTTGGGGGTCTGGACACACACACACACACACACACACACACGCACGCACGCACGCACGCACACACACACACACACACACACACACACACACACACAGATTATACAGCTGCAGATCTGATGGATGTGTTAGCTAGCTGTGACCTCCAGCGTGGATTATTGAGCGGGTTTAGCTGGCGTGTAATGTGTCACAGTCAGTCTCCGAGCACGGCTTCTGGTTTGTATCTGTTTGGGTCTGAGTGTCTGTCCTGCTGATCGTTTTTACAAAGCCTTAAGGATTCCGTGTTCACATGAACAAACACATGTCACAGTCAGGGGTAGGGGTTTTACTCCACAGAACCGAGGCTCCCTTCCAAATGTTTGTTTAGTGCCATCGTTTCAAAAGTACGAAGCTGGTATTCCACCTCAGCACCTGTTGCGGTTTTAGCTGATGAAGAGGTCCAGAGCTTCAACTTCATCTGGGAACTTTATCTAGAAAACGGCTTTGGTCTTAACGAGGGCGACCCAGAAGCTGTTTGGACAAACCCACCATCCGACCCCCTCCATCATCGTTACTGAGGAAAGTTGGGTTTGTCACCTGACCTTTAACATGTTGTCTCAGACAACCATGTGATTCATGTTGTTGACCTTCTGGGTGGAGTTCATCCTGGTGGGTTTCAATGCACAAACATCAGACACTTTGACTGAAAACAAACCTCAGACAGAGTCGGATGGCTGTAAAACATTAACGGATGATTTATTCATCCGCCATGTTTCTCAGATTCTTCTGGAAAACCTGAGTTAGAAGAAAGTTTTTTCTGGATAATAGTAGTTTTCAGTTTGTTTTCAGAGTTCTGCCGGATTACCTCCTGAGCTACTGGAGACATTTTAATAAAAGAAAGTTATCAGTAGATGAACGTCTACAGCTTATTTACATTCACAGTCCTTCTGATTAAAGATGGCTGCCACAGCGAAACAGGTCGGCCAGTTTTACAGACATTGGTGTTGACTGACTGTGTTGTAGCAGCTGGGAGTCATCCGTAACTCCTCCATCAATCAGGAAGAGAATCTAATAAACTTTTATCATCATTTTAAAGATTAAGTTCATTTTTGGCTTTCTATAAATCATATTTCCTAGGAAAGCTACAGTGGTCCATAAGGCTGTGCTAGTGAAGGTGTCGTAAGGGCTTTTGGATTAGTCCACTTGCTGTTTAAAGTGAATAATTCCTTCCTTTGTGGGTTTTGCATTTTTGTTTATTAAGCTCAGTAGAAACCAGTTTTAAGTGAGGTCACTAACTCCTCTAACCCCTCCTTCCTTCCTTCATACCTTTAATGTCCTGTCCCTCATTTCTTTGCCATATTCCCTCCAATTTTTCTTCCTCACCTTACTGACGTCTCTTTCCTCCCCCAGCCTCCCCCTCCCCCTGCTCCTTCTCCGTGCAGGGAAACAAGACGCTGCAGAGCAAATCCCTGCTGAATTCCTACTACTCAGGTACATGATGGCATCTGGAGTGCACACTTAATTCTGAAAGATGCTTACAGGCCTGTTTGCACTCCAGGCGTTTTGTGCCGGGTCGACTTTTGAAAGGAGGTCGTTAAGTTAAATTAGAGTTTAAATGGTTTTAAACACCCCAGACTGATCCTGTTTGGAGTCTGAAAAATGTTTGTGACAAACTGACTAGAGGTTTTAGCTCGGTGGTCAGAAGGTCGAGGCAGGGCCTGAAGGTCATTGAAAAGTGACTGACACGTCTCAATCAGCCAAACAGGAGAACTTCCCTGTTTGGGTTCATTTACTTCCAGGTCGGTCAGCTGATCTGACTCGTGGTCAAAAGTTTTAAAGGTGACACAAACGTGAGCGGGAAGAGTTACATTCCTCAGCAGAAATGTTGTTTGAATGCTGATGTGGCAAGGTGGAGAAATGAGTGCCCTGGCGGGATTCGATCCCCAGACTCCCGGGTGAGAGTCACGCGCGCTAACCAGTCAGCCAAAGGGACATCCCCTTGGCCAAGTAGCCAGGGCGCATGATCAATCGGGACACTGTGACAGGACGCTCACACTGCCACACTGAAGCTGAAATGTTTAAGCAGCAAAACTGAAGCTTAAAGCTTTAAGGTGGAAGCTGATGGGAGAAGATCTAAAAAGCTGAACCTAAAAGCTCAGTCTGGTGATTCTGGGTGAAATGAAACCAAAGCAGGTAACTTCAGGTTTTTCTGAATATTTAAAGCACTTAAATGATATTATATGAAATCCCACTTGGTCTAAAAGGAAATTAACCAAAAGGTTGAGTTGAATAATGAAACGTATGAAGCTGGAAGGTCCAGATGGAGCTGAAAATTTCTATTTTTTGGTTAAAATGATGCAGAAAAAGCTTCACAACCTTTCTGTGACAAAAGAAAAAAACGTGATTCTCAACAGTCACTGATCGTTTTTAACAAATGAATGTTGATGAAGTGGTTGATTGTGATGTTTCTGTTGTTTTGACAGTCTCCAAAGAGCCGGTTCCTGCTACCTCGTCTATAGGTAAGAACCAGCCAGGTGTTCTTTTAATGTTTTAAACAAAACGACTCAAAGCTGCTTTCCTGTTCATCTGTTTGCCTGCCTCGTAGTGAATCAGACAAGTCAGTTACCCTCAGAAACCCGTGGAGGTGATGCTCCTGATGTGTAACCACAAACAAACAAACACTTCACACTTGGACCAAATGTCAACTTCTGTATTGTTTTGTTCAGTTTCTCCATCTGTCCCCTTCTGTTGGACAGATTCACATGATCTCTGCCAACAAGCTTGGCTCCGTGTGTGTGTGTGTGTGTGTGTGTGTGTGTGTGTGTGTGTGTGTGTGTGTGTGTGTGTGTGTGTGTGTGTGTGTGTGTGTGTGAGATACATATGCCACTTAACACAGCTTTACACGAACTGGTCTGCACCAGCCGTAGAGTCGTATATCTGCTGGTTTTATTTTAATCATCAGATTATTCGTCATCCTCCAGCCACTCCTCCCATCATCATTCCTCTTTTTCTTCCTTTTTTTTTTCCACATCATGCTCATTTTGCACAACATCTCTGCACTTTTTAAACCATATTTGTGGGATTGTTCTCTTGAAATAATTTCTAAAATTGTTTTGTTTTGATCCTGAGAGCGGTGAGCTGCAGCCGCACTCGGGAACCATTTGGTTGTTTAACCAAAAACTAGGAGAGCAGATGACTCAAGTGTTTCAGCTTCTCATATCTTCTGTGATTTATGACAACAGTCACAGTAGGGGGTGCAGGTTTCGGTGCCATTTGCTGGTGTACGTCGGCGTAAGATGAAACAGAATGCAAAAAGATGCTTGAGTGATTTATGCATTGGTGGGACTTCTGTGTTGTACATCTTCATGGGGTGACATTAGCGTTTTATGGAACCATCTGTTCTTACTACAATTGGACCCAAAATCAAGTCATGTGGAATAAACCTTTGATCACTGCTGTGACCAAAAATCTGCCTCTCGCATGTAAAATACAGCAAGCTGATGTCAGACTGGAGGTTTCAGCAGAAACCGGCGTAGGCACCAGAGGGTCACCTTTAGGTCTGTTTGACCTTTGATCCCTTCCTGTTTCATTTCTATCTTCGTCCTGCTTTCTCTCTACTCTAATCAGTGATTTTTTTCTGCACTTCTGTGTGAACTCCACCAGTTTAAACTAGCAATGCCCTGATCAGGTTTTTTTTGCCCTCATCAAGTCCGAGTCATTTGGTTTTGAGAATCTGCCGATACCGAGTCCCGATCCGATACTTCCGATACATAAAAAAGAACAAAGAAAGCGAAGAAACAGATTCGGCATGTTTCTTATTTATTTATTTAATTACCTTTATTTTAACATTCAACAACTTTAACAAACAGAACACTTCTGTTCTTGAACAATCAAGTAATAAATAACATAAATTCTTCACATTTGGACTTTATTGCAAATCTAAAAAAGTCTAATATAAAAAGAAATAGCACTTTTACTTGCAGAGGTTTTTTGCCTTGGCCTCCAAAATGCCTTTATATGAATTCTGAAGGTTATCTGATTTATCAAATAAATAAATATTACATGCTTATAAATTATTGTTTTATAAAGCTAAAAATGTGTACTGGGATAAATCCACCTACATTTTATTTTTCAAGAACTTTGTTTTGTTTTCTTGATTTTTAATTTCCTGTCGTGTCCGTCTCTGATCTTACTGCATCTCCCCTCAGTCCTCCAGAAAAAGTTGCTGCCTGCTTCCTCCTTTTTCACCTCACAAGTTACATTTTAACCAAGCAGATCAAATGGATCTACTGACCACAAAAATAGCGGAGTGTGTGCTGCGCTGCCTGGGTGTGTATGTTTAGGGCTTCGTGGGAGCTGGACAACCTGCCAGGAGACCCAGCCTTCCCTTAGCTCAACTGTAATTTGAACCCTGTATCCAAGTCCGGATCGGGACGTAACGCCCCATCTTGATCCAAGTCAAAAACCACACGATCGGGAGAGATTTCTGATCCCCTGATGGGATCGGGAAATCTCTAGTTTAAGCCCTGCCTCAGTGAGACGTGTGGATTCTAGCTGGGCGGGTTACTCATACACACACACACACACACACACACACACACACACACACACACACACGCGCGCACGCGCGCGCGCACGCACGCAGACACACACACACACACACATGTTTCTCAACTGTTCCCCTTTTCTGGAGGCTTCCCACATGTATAGTCAGTCCCTTTGTGTTCGGGTCGTAGGAGCCTGATTTTTGGAGTAACGTCATAAAGTGGTCTAGTAAAATAAGTGGTCATGTGACTCATGTCAAAGGGAATAGTGCATCAGACAGCTAGCCTAGTGAACTAGACAAAATTCTTGCTTTGCAAAGAATGGTCTAGGCATGCTCCATTGGAACCTCAGCAGCTCCTACCAGGACTCTGGCTAGCCAATCACAGCTCTCTAGAGGGGTTTCAAACACATAAAGAGCTGTGATTGGTCCATAATGGTGGGCCAATCATAGTGCTCTATCTGCTTAGTGAGCAAATCACAGAGCTTCATACGCTTTGTGGGCCAATCAGGGCACTCTATATGCCTGGTGGGTGGGATGATGCAACAGAGTGAAACAAGAGTATGTCACATTCATTGTCCAATAGCATGCGGAGATCATTTGAAAGACAACGGTAGAACCCGCCCCACAACCGAGAGCCGTCAATGGAGCGTGGCCAGACTAAATAATACATTTATTTAGTCTGGCTTGCCAGGCTATCAGACAGCAGTTCTCCTCTTGAACAGCAGGTGTCGCTACAGAGAAAATCCTGCCACGTAGCAGAAAAAACAGAAGAGTCACAAACAGGAAGTAGAACCCTCCATCACAGTAGGTTTCACCTTGTATTCGCCTAATGGTGAAGTGTCTTTGGATGTTTATGTAAACATTTGCAAGGATCTTAGCAAGCTACTACTGGGAAACTTTCTGTGTGGCTCACGCAGAGCGCAAAAAGTTTGGCGACTCCAAGTGTGCATGATGGCCGAACGTCAGGCTGATGAGTTAAAATAAGAAACTGACTGTTGTCTTGTCATCCTGATATAGAAGTAATTCACTTTGTCAGATTCCCTGTCTCTGAAAATGACCTTAAATTTAAAGAAAGAACGAAAGGTCCTCTGTTTAGCCTCAAAACACAGGTTATTCCTGCAAACTGATAAATTGTTTAAATAAGGTGGAAAAACAGTTGGCACCACATCTAAAACGCCCCAATAACAGACGGTGAACATGAATACCACGTGGTCATCGAAGTGAGCTCCAATGGTTCCTGCTCATCGTCACTTTAACACTTAACTCATCGATTTCTGCTGAGTCCATTAGGTCGGTGGCTTCTGAAAACAGCTGAATTTCCACATCGGATAAATGGAAGAGAATGGATTCATTCTGGCAGAAAGGATCCAGCGTTTACACCTGCTCTGACACCTTTCAGCTTTTCAAATGGATAATGGTTTCGACGGTCTGAGTGGTGCCAGTGAGGATGGCTTTTCTGTGCCTCAAAGGGAGACCGAGAGCTGAGACGGGAACGTTACTGAGATGGCGCCAAAAGAGACTTTACGGATGGAGAGATCAAAGCATGGGACAAGTGGCTCAGTTCAGCTTCTTTCCTTTAACCACCACTCGGGTCTGAGCTGGTGACGTCCCAGCATTAATTCCCTTGAGACTCAGAAAACAACATACGTATGAAAAGGGCCAGACATAAAATTCATCACAACATCAACTCCACATGAATCAGTAGGATGCAGCAGCAGCACAACTCTTTATCTGCAACCACGTTTTCCTTTAAAAATCCAATTCTTAGAGCGACCATCAGCCTTTGGTGTCCCGCCAAGGACGGGCCTTCAGCAGCAGCGATTCGCCACATGAGAAGCTTCTGCTGCCTAATGAGCAGCCGCAGAAACACCGTAACACACACCTACATGGAGAACGAGCTACAGACCTCCTTCATGCATCTGTGATGCTTTTATCAGACTCTTCAAATAACTATCAGGAATTTAGATGCTAAAGCTGTGATTTGAAGGTTTGAGACAAAGTGGGTGTTTGTTTGTGTGAAATCTGCTGATTTGTTGCTTGTTTGATTCATTTTGGTTTGTTTTTAATGGATTTTGTAGAAAAACTTGATTCTGTACTTGATTCAGGTTTGGTTTGTGTTTTAGGGGTTTGATGAAGAAAAGATGTTTGTTTTTCTCAGAGCTTCAGCTCTCGGGGGTAAATTAGGCTTAAAGACTAGAGGAAACAACTTCATCAAGTTCAACCATATTCCCACAGGAGTATCGCTGTTGGTGAGCAAATGAGGTGTTACCTGAAGGACGTCTCCTTGGGTGGAGTGCGATTATTTTATTTGGAATGTTTTGCACTTTGCTCCAGGGTCGCCCGCACCTCCAACCAGATAGAAGAACAAAGTTCCCATGTCTTCTTCACTACTGGTCTGGACAACGTTTCCAACAGACGGTGGCTTCATTCCATTTATCTTGGTGTTATTTAACCTACTGACATTTAGGTGAGGTTGAGAAAAAAGCTCAGATGAATCTGAAACCACAACAGTCCTTGATTTTGACTTGATGACGTCTCATAAATCCCATAACAGAGAGCAGAGACTCGGAGCCTTACACATGGAAACCATGAATCTGTAGCGTCTGCCACCTCTGGAACACCACCCGAGATGAGGACATGATGTTCTCAGCACCATCAGCCCTGGTTTAGTTTGTGACGTCAGAGAATGAGAGGTTTTGTACCTAAAGTGTTGCAGCAGAACTGGTTCTGGTTTTTGTCTCTGTTGGTTTTATTTTTTCGAGAACATTTTGGACACTGTCTCCACTTTAGAAGTGGGAGAGGCTTCCAGAGATGCCCCCTGTGCAGAAAGTGTGTACTTTTTTTAAATCCTCAGTTGTGCTTGTATCGTAGATAGTTTTTTCTCTGCATCACAGAAAGGCAGTTATTTTTCCCGTCCTGTTCTGGATAGCATTAGGCGGCATGTAAGGTGATTACGGCTAATGGTGGTCATTT